TCCATTTGGTAGATTTCGGATCAGCCATGCTTATTCCTCCTGAAGGTGCTGCCTCACCCTCTCCTGGCACCACACCCTTCTTTGCCGCTCCGGAAGTTTCCCAGAAGCGCGTCTTCACTCAAGCTGCAGACATGTGGAGTCTGGGTGCGGTGCTGTTCTTGATGGTGGGGGGGGTGCGTCCTAGGTTGGCGATGGGAAAGGCAACAGCGTCTGCAGACCAAGTTCATGGGAATGCCACGTGGCTAAGGTTACAGGCTGGTGACGTGGAGGGTTTGCCAGATGATCCCTCTTCCGAGCTTCTGGAGTTTTTGACCAGATTGCTCACGCCGAATCGGTCGGAGAGGATGACGGCGAATGAAGCGCTGCTACATCCTTGGATAAGGTTATCTACATCCAAGCTGCACCAGAGCCCTTTACAGACGTCGGTGAGGAATTGCAAGGAGTATGTGTCAAGGCGCGCTGCTGGGTGCATTGGTAGCGGTGTTGTGAGCTGCTCTACACCGAAAGTCTATGAACAGGATGCACGAAAAGGAGCAGGGCTGACTGCATTGGAAATGACTGGCCAGAAAATATCAATGACGAGTGATGTTGGAAATGATGGACCCAGTGGTCAGGTGGGACGGTTGGTGGTCTCCAGTGCACTGGATCTTGAACCGATGAAGAAAAAGGAGCTCAAGTGGAAGAGCGTTGATAGTGTGATTACAGCGGACTTGAAGGAGTTTGCTCATTGTGAGGTAAAAACAAAGGTTTTTGTAGAGGTGTTGGAGTGCAATCAGCCTAGGAGCAAAGGTAGACACAAATCTAAAACTTATAACCAGATCACTTGTCTAAGTGGTTGATTGCATAACGAGTCAATGTTTCACTTGTGTCATTTCAGGATATCTCCCCAAGCTTTTCCCGCGGTTTTCAGGCAGACCGTGAGAAGCTTCTGGCGGGAGACATAACTTGTCCCGCCAACAATATCTGACACTTTTATCAAATTGTCAGAATCTTGGGGGTGCTTGTCCCAATTTTGAATTGGTGCAGCCTAAAAGTTGCCCGTTCTGTTGCAGCGACCCACTTCATGCGAGAGGATTGTGCTCATGAATGTTGGAGAAACTGACGAGGCAGCCCCTAGCACACCCACGTTCGGGCAGCTTCGGCGATATTCTTTCAACACCTTGAACTTGAGGCGCACGACAAGCTGGGAGGTTGGTGGACGTGCGCCATTTTTACCTGCCCGTGATTGGGTTGAACATGGAGGTTTGTTCGCTGGAGCCAACACGGAAACACGTGAGGCTAACCCTCATATTCCACGTGACATTACTTAATTGGTTACACGTCTGACTTGTGGTGGCGTCAAGGTGGCGGGAATGGTCGCCAGAACAAGCAGCTCAACAGTCGATCTGACCTACTTGACAATCTCAGGATTGTGGATGCCGCCGAAAGTCGTGGTGGATCGTTACACCAGGTTGGGAGGACAGTGCTTGCACCTATTGACGATTGGCAACAGAAATCGAGAGCTCGCGTGATCGTGCAACGCTCGCGTGATTAGCGGATTCCACCGAAAGCCCCAGAAACTCTCATTGTTCATTGGTCCGCGCAGCCAAAGTTCGGTGGGAGCCTCACAGTGCAGCTCTTTTTCGCCCCGAGTCCCACAACCTCAGGAGACTGTGCGGAGCCAAACAACCGCGATACAAAGTTGCCTCTCAGTCAGCAGCACACTTCCCGGCGATGCGATGCGACACTGTCGCAGCACCTACGTCGCAGCGGTGCCCCCGTGTGCTTGCACCGCTGTTATCACGTGTGTAACCCTCGCGAAATCACAACGATCACTGTCCAGGGTGCTAACAACCTTACGAGATGTTGCGAAGGCTTGCGATCAACTACCGACATGTACGATGGCCACACAAGAGCCAAGGGAGTTCACCAAAACTCCCGAGGCCGACGGAAGGCTTGGGGCTGATCGCGACGCGGTCTGACTGACGCGCCAACTGGGACAGCTCCCTCCCTCCCTACCTGGCCACGCGTAATCCCAAGGCTGTCACAGGGGCGCTGATTTTCGCTCCAAAATTCGCCCCATGAAGTTGGCTTGTCTATTTTTGTTCGCACCTGCCCTGCCCGCCCAGCCCGTGCCGCTCGTTGTCCGTCACATCCCAATCATCCGCAATCCCAATGCCTTCGATAATTGCCTTTTTTCTCGTTCCCACGCGGAAACCTCACTTTTGCAAGCCATCCGCACCGAGTCTTGTCCTGCCTGCCGCCAGCCCCAGCTTCCATTCTGCGCCCCATTCCCCCTTTCCATAAACAATCTGCCGCACATCGACTGCTCGCCGAACCCAAACTCTGATTTCCCATCCTCCAGGATGCCTCCCGATGAGTTTTTTTTGCGCCATTCCAATTTCTGCCCCTCGGCAAAATGCCGAATCCCAATGTCCGCCCTTCTGGAAAGCGCCAGCACGGCAAACGCGATCGGTGCACGCAGCCCCTACCATCCCAATTCCATCGGTTTCGCGCACAGCGAAACCAACGCGCCCATCTTCCCTCTATCCATCATCCCTGGCGCCCCAAGCACACACACGTTCACAACACATATTTCTGCAGCATGAACGCTTAAGTCCTCATTCTCGCGCCCTCTCTCGATTTCTTTTGAATCTGCAAGCAACTTTCAGGGAAGCCAACTACATCAGGAAAGTAGCATTTAGAACTGCGCCCTTTCTGCTCACGTATTTTCAAATCGTCCTCTAAGCTTCCCTTCCTCCTCAGCTTGACTTGACTCTAATCTGATTGACAGTACCGTAATTTCACAGCCTACGATGGCCAAGCCTACTTCATCTGACAAGAGTGGACAGAAAAAACCTACCGCGGTTCGCCTGCACGAAGGCACGCGGATTCGCGTCGTGTGGCCGCGCGACAACCGCTGGCACGCGGGATTTGTGAAAAAGTACGACGCGAAGAAGGCGCTTCACACGATTGTGAGCGACCACGGCGACAGCAAGCGACTGGACCTGCGAACCACGCGGTGGGAATTCGAAGACCCCAACGCCGACCCGTCCAAGTTTCTCCGCCCGAGAGGTACCCGCGGGAGGAAAAAGGCGTCCGCTGCGGCGGGGACACCCGCGGGAGCAACATCGGCTCTACCACAGCTTTTCCCAGTCGGCGGTTCCCGCTACGCGTCGTCGAACGCGGCTGCGAGCTCTGATTCGGGCGACTCGTCGGACCCAAGCTTCGGACATGTTGACAGCCGGGCTTACGGAGCGGCGCATCCCGCCGATGCGCACCCTGCGGAGTCGTACGAAGAGGGAGAGTTTGTTCATCGGGGCCTGCGGACCCGGAAAAACCGCCAGTACGTGGTCAGTGACGACGAGTCCGGTGACGGCGATGACGTGGCAGATGATGCTGACGAGGACACTGAGATTGAAAGTGATTATGAAGAAGACGAGGGCTTGGGTTCCGACTCGGAGTGTGATTATACTGGGGGAGCGGTGGATTCGCCGGCTGGAAAAAAGAGGCGGTTGAGTGAAGGGCACGCGTTTGGGGCTGAGTCGGCGGAGACGAAGCGATGCAAGAAGGAAGGGTCGTTCTTCACTCTCACCGAGGTCGCCTGGCAGCAGCAACAATCGCAACCGTCGCAAAAGGCTGTGAAGGCGAAGAGACCCGTGGGTCGTCCGCGAAAGGTGGTGTCGTCCGGTTTGGCCCAAGCCGCCGAGCCTGCTACTGACGAGGATACCACCATGGACGAGATGATGCTCATTATGGCCGTAGCGCGTCGGCTTGTAAAGGATAAGTGCTGCCTGCCTGCTGCATGCGACTCGCTCAAGCCTTCCCCGGTTGCCGCGAAGCTCAGGGACAGCAGCGCGTCGGGCGCTGCGACCAAGGAGATGAAGGAGACCGGAAGACCAGCGGAAGGCGGTATGGTGGAGGTGAAAGTGACTCAGCAGGGGCAGCTTCAGGTGAAGGGGGAGGTGCAGCGCGCCGCTGTGAAGGTGGACGTTCAGGGACACATGGAGGACTCGATCAAGGACCTGAGAGCGGTTCATGTCCTCCCAGTTACATCTTCCGGTCCAGGTGCTGCTGCTAGTGGATTTCGGTTTATGTCGGGGATGGAGTCGTGTGCGCGTGCGATGTGGCCCTGCAGCCAGGGTCGCGTGGTGGTGAGGGCAGCAGCTTCGTCTGTGGTCCCTGCTCAGGGTGGTGCCATCCGAGCGTAGGCAACATGCCGTTCCGCCTGCTCAAGTTATTCTTTGACTGAATTAGCTCGTAGTATTTTTATAATCTGGTTCAGGGTTGTCGCCATATTCACCAGGTTGGTTGCCTCCGCGGCTTCCTCCTTATACTTTTAACGCTAGTTTGTTTCAGTTTCTAGTGATATTACAAAATTCATTAATAGTCTTACAGGTACTCTTCTGATGACAGTTCCTATGGCAAAAACTGAAACTTCTGGTTGTGCCTCCTCAGCTCATATTGAACCACTTTGGCTCTCACGCAGAGCCACCATATTGGCTCTGGTGGGCAGCTCATGTAGACAGTCATACGGTATTCCTAGTTAGTGATCCCCTATTTCACAAAATTGGCGACTCCAAATGAGATACCGTATCAAAGAAACCTACAAAATTGATGTAGAGGACCACTAAAACAAGCAAGTACAAGCAGGGAGGAATCTTGGCCTTTGCTTGACTGTTCTGGTGCTTCAGCACCATTGGTGCCAACTTTGCAACTGCAATCAACCACTTGCTAGAAGAGAATCTGCCAAAGCTTCATTCAAGTCAGCCACTTTCACTCTGGAGCTTCGAGGGCAGCTGAGCCAGAGGCACGCAGCATTGCCATTAGGCTAGCCATCTCAATCTGCAAGTCAGCACGGCAAACAGTGAAATGGAATGACACAGACACGAGTACTGAGCTGTTGAAGTTGCTGCATGCATCATTCACAAACAAATTCCAAGGCAGTGATGGTTGCCCTTCATCCATATGCAAATGCTGTAAGTGTGCATGCATGCACGTATGCATGACAACACACATACCGCTGTGACAGCCGCCTCTGCTCCTTTGTTGCCAAGCTTGCCTCCAGCCCTGTCCATCGCCTGAGAATGAAGTGTAGAGGTAAAAATGCATGAGTCCATCGAGGATCCGGCAACTTTTGGTGTGCATGAGTGGGTGCTGTTTTGCGCCGAGATCTGCGCATGAGTGAGTGCTGGGAGCACATGCATGTGTGGATGGAAAACAAACAAGCACAAAGACAGTAGGCCTGTACCTGCTCCATTGTCTCACATGTGAGAACCCCAAAGACACAAGGAATGCCTGCAGAGAGTGAGGCAGAGGGAGCGAAAAAGCAGAGGGGAGCGGAGAGAGTGGGTGGGAACGGAGAGTGAGCTACAAGAGGTGCTTTGGAGCAATACGAAACCGCGGATATTCCGTCGCAAAACTGGCAAACAAATACAATCACTAAATCACCAATCCTAAATGTGATTTCAATTTCCAGCCTCACCTGAGTTTAGACCTGCACTCAGAACGCCACTGGCAGCATTGTTCGCAACGGCATCATAATGAGTGGTGGAGCCCCGCACCTGAGGCAAGGATGGCAAGGATGGAGGGGAAGGCAAGGGAAAAAGTGAGCGTGAGACTATTGGAATAAGACGCAGAATAGGAACCGAACAACTCTGGGATTTGGTCAGCAGACCACAGCAGCAAAGCTGGCAGGCACTAGCAGGGCTGACCACAAAATGGATGAATGCAACGTGCGAGCCAGCCACAGATTTATGAACCAAATTGTACAGCGTACACGACAAGTGGTTGATCTCACTGACCACAGCGCCAATGCAGAGCACAGCGTCGAAGTTGCCCGACTTGGCCATCTCCTGCGCCACCAGGGGAATTTCGAAGCTGCCCGGCACCCACGCCACCTCAATGTGGTCCTTGTCCACGCCATGCCGCCTGAACGTGTCAATCGCGCCCGACAGTAGAGGCTTCGTTACAATCTCGTTGAACTTGGACACCACCTGATAAAGCGGGATGCAAGGTATGGGAGGATCCGAGGGAGGCAGCAAGAAGCAGGGAGAGAGTAAAAGGTGAGAGAGGCGAGATGAGACTAGGAAAACCAAGACTGAGCGCGTGAGATCGTAAACCCTTTCAAAACCTCTCCGGCGTGTATTGAGCTGTGAGAATAGAACGCGAATAAGATCAACGTCCGCGTGGCATTTGAGGTCCTATTGGTCGTTAGCTTGTCCCTGAACTGAACTTTTCGAGCTTACCACCCCAAATCGAAAGCCCTCGCCTGCGATTCCGCCTCGCGACTCTGTCACTGCATATCCGCATCTCGTGGCTACTTGCCGTCTGAGAGTCGTCGCTCTTTTGGAGAACGACGACACCTGAACCACATTTCCTTCAGCCGATAGACCTGTAACGCCACATTGAAAAATATATATACATATAAAAAAATATTAACTGAGGACAAAATCGGAGCAACACAGATAGCATTGGACCACAAAAAAAAAGGCACAAAAAGCTGCATGGTGGGACTCGCCATGTGCGAAGGACGTTGAGAAGCCAGTTCCCAACAGTTGCCTGCTCTTCAATGAAGCCTCGTGACGCTGAAATCCACTGAGGTCTGAACGACACAGAGCCGCATTCGTCGACACCGCGACAGTGCTCGCAGCGGAAGCCATTGCGCCGACGATCTTAGATGAGGTGACAGCAGGACAGCCGCTGAAGCAGTGGTCAGCCGTGAAACGCGCTGGCTCACTCTTACTGCATAAGACTAGCCGCGGGGGTTGTTCGAATTGCAGTTGTTTGTCAGGATTCACTTAGTGAGAGGAGAGGGAACGAGTGGAATCAGAATAAGTTGTTTCTTCAGTCGGGAGAATTGTATATTACATTACGTATATTCACAACAAAAATGAGGAGTAAGACATGCTAAAACGCGTACAATCTGGCTCGATTCCCTGCCATTGACCAACTGCACCAACTTTTCATCCCGCTGCCACGCTGCTGTTGAGAAATCCTGTAGCCATTTCCTGAGTGCTTGCTCCTAGTTTTCCTCAGCTTGCTCCTAGCTTTCGTCAGCTTGCTCCTAGTTTTCCTCAGCTTGCTCCTAGCTTTCGTCAGCTTGCTCCTAGTTTTCCTCAGCTTGCTCCTAGCTTTCGTCAGCTTGCTCCTAGTTTTCCTCAGCTTGCTCCTAGCTTTCGTCAGCTTGCTCCTAGTTTTCCTCAGCTTGCTCCTAGCTTTCGTCAGCTTGCTCCTAGTTTTCCTCAGCTTGCTCCTAGCTTTCGTCAGCTTGCTCCTAGTTTTCCTCAGCTTGCTCCTAGCTTTCGTCAGCTTGATCCTAGTTTTCCTCAGCTTCTCATCCCGTAACGCGTGGTCATTTGCGTTGCGTGCGTTTCAGCTCGCCAACGTTCAAAAGCGATGGACGTAGCTCACGCTCTCCGCATGCTCGATACTCTAGATGCGCATCTGTTAGCCCTCCTTCCTGCTGGAGAGCTCCAGGCAGCTGACAGAGCAAATGTGGCAGATTCAGGTGATTAGACCAGTGTGAAACGCTTAGACCATGAGAGACGTCCACTTATTCTGAACAACGAAGTAAAAAATCTTGTTGACCTTCATGACCGATTTTTTTAGAAACATAGGAATATAATTCACGTCCCTGCTGTACTTTGTCCTTCCTTCTTGCAGTGGATCTTGACATTCGAGCCCATCAATTCCTTGAAACGGCGTGTGATCTGGAGCGTTGTTTCACAAGGCTTCGAGCGCGGCACATGGCTGATCCTCAAGCAACACTATCCAGGGTAAGGTCTCGGCCTGCAGACGCTTGTTCGTTGCGTGCACACCTTAGAACCAACACACCTGCGACCGGATGTTTTGCAGGAAGTGACGGCTCTGGAAGAAGAATTGAAGAGGAAACACCTTGCTTTGAAGGAGTGCCGGGAACAAGCTGCTGAATGGGATGATATTGTCAGGCAAACTTCACAACAATTGGAGAATTCCTTAGATGACGTTTAATTAGTTACTACTATCAAGATATATTAACGATACATGCAGCATAACAAAGAGAGCTGTAGACTAGATTAGATATTAGTACTGTGCACTTACCCTCACAACATCAATGACGTTGGGGGGTTAGGAAGGTCAGTTCCTCATCTCCCAAGTCAGTTAGGAATCTTGTTAATTCTCTCCTGAAGCTTGAATCTTTCAGTGATGTGTGGCCTCACATCATCTGCCCTCGCCAGGGTCTCCAAAAATGGGAGAAGCAACTGCAGCTCGCAGTCCTTGTCATCATCAAACCATGCTTCAATAGGGATACCATTGTCAACTTGCAATCCAAAAGCCTGCACAAACGCACTGCAACATGTGAGAAGCCTGCACAAATACATGGAAAAACCAAGTAGTTAGGCCAAAGGAAAGAAAAAAAATACCTGGGGAGAGTTGTCAACAATGACCACTTTGGAAAGGTCTCGTCCAAGCACAGACAGGTCCTTGACATAGTTCCCTTCAATGTAGACACAGGACTCTCTGAAGATCCTGTGCTGAACCAGCTCCGTCTTGGGATCCATTATATCAAGAAGCTTATCAGCGTAAATACCCTGGCTGGCTGTGAAGACCACAACCTCGAACAGCTCAGCTACCTTCTGCAGAAAAGTCTCCACATGGGGGCGTTTACGAACATGGACCATATGCGTATGGCTGTTCAGCAAGACTGGGAAGTTGAAATCGGAAAACGGGCAGAAGTCCATTGTCGAATGTACCAACGTCTCTGTAACAGGAACACACAACAGACGTTAAGTAGGGCAAGTAAGAAGCACGACGTCCAACGCAACAGATGGCAAAAGCTTACCATCAAGATCCAGGACCAGCGTCACAGGCGGCGCATCTGCTTTCCGCGGAGGTAAGATGTAAGGACGATTTTCCGGAATCGTATATGTGAGCAGCGGCAGCCGTTTGATGAAAAGAAGAGGGTCATTTTCATCATCTGCATCGCTTTCACTCCCGACCGCATTACTTTCCTCTTGACATTCCAGGCCGTGAAACTCCAGATCTTCGTGGCCTGCACCCGCGACGTCTCCTGAATTGAGGAGAGAAACCCAGGAGTGCCCGCATGTTGTACACTCCAACTGGAAACAAACGAAGAGCAACCCGCAGCGTTAGCAGTGATGACGAGAGAGAATAACCGTGCCCAAACGACTGTACAAAAATTTAGACACGAACCTTGTGCTCTTCAACTTCATTCGAGCAATTTTCCAAAGGAGAATTAGGAACGGTTCCGCAGACACCGCAGTTAGGGCAGATGAGTTCCACCTGAAAACAGTAGAAAAAAAATAGGGTTGAAAAAATCAGCAACAGAACAGGAAAACCACGGGAATACTTCTGTGCTTCAATGAAGAGACATTGCGCGCAAAAACAACAAACGCCACGACTTTAAACACGGCAGCTTACCAGATGTTGCACATCGACGGGAGAGGTTGACTGCTCCGCCAACTTCTCATCAAAATCGTGGACCTCAACTGCCTCCAGAAAAGCCTCGGGGTCTTCGGCAAGTCCAGTCGCACCAGTACGGACGTCAACGGTGCTTGCCGTGATACTGCACCCAGCATCTGCTTTATCGCAAACTTCCAAATACGTATCCACATGCGAAAGGTGATCTGTCACCGAGGGAACTGCCAGTGAAGGTTTGCAGCAACCACCGCTGACGGAAGAATGATCTTCAGGAGCTTCAACGGGACACAAAGGCGACTCCGAGGTCCACGGGGCGGTTCCTTGATCCCACTCACACCCGCTTCTCCCACTACAATACGAGCAGTCTCCGTCCGGACATCCCATTAGGGCAGAAACGTTCTCGTCCGCCTCACTCTCTTTTGCAGCTTGTTCGCATCTGATAAGACCGCCAGCAACCGCCAAACACTTGCCTTCACTCGACAGCTTGCGACGCTTGGAACCAGGAACGTTCCAGCTCAGCTCGGAGCCCTTCGCAGAGCGCTTGTTTGAACTTGAACACACAAGGTTGACCTTATTGCTCTCTTGAAGCTCTCTGGGCGCATGCTCCACGAGCGACTCCCATTTCTCCTTAGACCGAGCAAGTGCCGTCGCAAGCTCGTCATGATGTTCCCTGGGAAGGAACTTGTCGGTCACAGTCAGTAGACGGTGACTTTGAACGTCATATACATATGACACCACAAAATCCGAAAGCTCACTTGTTGAAGGCAGAGCTTTGGACGGCGGGATAACAACGACGCTGCACTTCCGTACTATTGTCTCGGGAACGAAGGACTCGTAGTGAAAGGAATAAAACAGCTGCCGTGGATCCGAGGGAACACATGTCCTTTTGCTGTTTCCGAAAAGTTCATCTGTAGTGGTTGCCCTGGCTTCGACCGAGCTTCTGCCATGCTCTTTTGAGAACGGAAGAAGTTGCTCCCGATAAAGCCATTGACCTTTCACTTCGAGACCACCATCCGGGTTGACCCTGATTTGCTGCACAGGATTAAAAACAACGGCGTAAGTACACGAAAAGTACGCTCTAATGTAGCGTTCAAAAGCACTATAAAGAGGGAAGAGCTACGGAGAAGAAACTTACACGAATGAAGACGACATCGTACTCAGAACGGCAAGACCTCAGTAGTACAGAGTCTCCCTGAAAAGGCGGAAGAACATATATTAGCTGTCAATGTACTACAACTAGAAATAACTCCATAAGACTCCTAGCTAAGGAAGGCAAAGGCCTACCACTTCGTATACTTCATGGCCGACTTGCAGTGAGTTGAAGAGCAAGACCTCATGTGGGGACCTTCCCTCAGACCCAACAGGGTCTCCAAGAACTCTTGTGCTAGACTCGCTCTGTGCTAGACCTGCCATCGAACAAACCCTGACGACAACGCTGTCGCACTACGGCTGACGGTTTCTGTTCTCGAAAATGCTACTTCAAAATGCTTCCGTCAGGGTTCGTTCGTTGTTTGATGTAGTCTGTGGCGCGAACAATGAGGGTTTCGTCGGTTGACGACGACTCTGGGAACGTCAGCGCCGAATCAGCAACACTGGTGGAGCTGTCAGCGCTGGTTGCGATCGGACCGTTAAATCGGCTTTCTAATCGGACGGTGCTCCTACGCTCGATACCATCAGATATTGCGAGGCTCCGCTATTGTTGCACCTAGGAATCGCCAGAAGTAAGCTTGATAACGGATTGCTTTGACATGTGTACTAGAGTCATTAGACGCAAAGTCGTGCATGCAAGCTACCCTAACTGATAGGATAATCCTTGTGCATGATGCTGGTTGAAAATATCACACCAAATAGCTAACTAGGGAATTTTCCAGTCAAAAGCTCCCTAATCCTCATATTGGAGTACTATGGTGCAATGCATGGTGCATTGCTGTCCATCTTACGGTATTGCAACCATTGTGTGGCCTGATGCTAAGTACATCTTGTCTGATAGGGAGGTTGAACCATGTGTGATGTGATCAATGCAACTGATAAACATACCTTATGAACTCTTACATCGCACGGTGTCTCTCAAGCCACACAAAGTATTGTGTGGTAACTAGGTGTGCACCCACACTGCTACATGTAACTAACTTAACCTGGTTACACAAAGTGCGTTTGGCACTCAGTGCAAGAACTTGGCCAACAACGGGATTTGGAAAGCTGTCCCCTAGAAACATTGGCAAGGTCAAATTCTGCTCAAAAGTCTTCTGCGCTGGGAGGATTCCGAGGAGGGGGAAAAATCCGACCACCAATGTCCACCTTGACTGGCATTTCCTGCACAACACCACAGCACACGTTGGGGATGCACACAGTGAGGCAGAAATACTGAGACCGGAAAAACCACTCAAGGGAGGAGGGGAGAAACAGGATGGGCATGGCAGGGGAGACAAGGCCCAGGAACAAGAAAGTGAAAAATCATAAGGGAGGGGAGGGAGAGTGAGAGTGAGTGAAGGACATGGCAAGGAGATGGTACCTTGAAGAGGAGGTCAAAGGCAAGTGACTCCCAAGGCAGGGAGAGAGACGCCAGGCAGCACCGCAGAGGCTCCTCTCTCACTACTCCTGCTGCTCTACCGATCCCTCCTTGCAGCAACGATGCAGCAAGACCACCCGCACTACCACCACCAGCACCAGCAGGTCCAAGGGAACGACTGCTGCCACCTGCCCTGCTGCTGCCTGGTCTGCTGCTGCTACCACCTGAGCTACGGCCACCAGGTGATCCTTCAGGTGATTCTCCTGAGTTTCCACCTGAAGCAGTGTGGCCATGTGGGTGTCTGGCAGTGGGGCTGTTTCCATCCTGATGCACCATGGCTCTTCGAGGGGTGCCTGCTACTGGCGGGGAAGCCACTACTGGCCGCTGCAGCAGCCTCGACGACCCGCCACTGCTCTCACTCCCCTCCCGCCCCCCTTCCTCTCCTTCCCCACCGTTGCTGCCACTTCCTCTTACACCAACGCTATCAGGACCACCAACACCCCCAGCACTGCCAGCACCAGCGGCACCAGGCCCTCTGGCTTTCCCCCGTGAGGCCTGCATGGATCGGGATGGAGGGGGCCGCTGCCGGTGGTGGTGATCAGAGGGGTGGCGGGCGCTTGCCCTTGCTCTGAGACTGCAGCATCTGCAGCTGCTCCTGCACTAGCCGCAGCTCCCCCTGTAGCTCCAGCAGCCGCAGCCTCCGTGCCTCCTCCTTGGCTGGCTTTGCTGGGGGAAGGGCGGAGGGGATTTGCTGCTGGAAGGTGCGTGCTGGGGGGAGGGGAGTGGTTGGGGAAGGGGAGGGCGGGGATGGGGAGGGTGGGGAGTGGGAGGCGGGAGGAGGAGGCGGAGTGGGTAGGGGTGGAGAGGGAGAAAATGATGGTGCTGCCATTGCTGCTGAATCTGCATCGCGTCCTTCTGTTTGCATGCCGTCAGCATCCACATCAGCAGCATCATCAGCTGCAGGAGGCGGAGCAGCAGAGGCAGCGGGATCGAGGCTGGCAGAATCTCGCTCAGCTGAGAGGTTGCCCTCTTCCACTTGCATCATGCTGTCCCTGTCGTCACCATCTCCACAACCAGCAACAGTTGCAGCACCGGCACCATCCGTACTTGCAGATTTTGCCACACCACCAGCGCCACCATCAGCAGCAGAAGCAGTGGCAGAAGCAGTGGCAGCAGCAGCGGCGGCGGCGGCGACAGTGTTGGCAGCAGATTGGGCCTCTAACTCCAGGAGGTCCATGAGCTCTGCTTGCACTGCCCATAGCTTGCTCTGCAGCTCCTGCAGCGACGGCATGCGCCGATGCAACGGCCTCGATGGACGGCCGGATTGCACCGGAACGCTGGACGGACGGCCGGATGCGGATGGGTTATTCTGTGATGGCGAGTGGTTGGATTTTGGAGGGCAATTGGGCGGTTGGGGGCGGTTTGGGTGTAATGGGCTGGTGGGTGATGGCTGGGGGAGGGCTGGTTGGAGACAGGAGGGAAGGGTGGGTAGGTGACTGTTGCGGTGGGGGGGAGTTGGGATGGGTGGGGGAGGAGAGGGAGGGAGGAGCATGTTGGGAGCGGGCCGAGGGGGAAAGAGGCTGCTGGGATGGTGGGAGTTGGAACCGAGAGGACGGCTGAGAGTGAGAAGAGTGGGAGGGCCGAGACGTGTGGGTCCGAGAGGGGTGCCGGGGGGAGAGAGGGGGTTTGGGGGCGAGCGGGGGCCGAGGGGAGAGTGGCGGCTTGGGGGGAAGTGGAGGAAGGGGGAGGGGGCAGACTGCAAGGTTGGCGGCTCCTTTGCCCCCCGGGCCACGGAGAACCAGCCCGGCTGGTTTCATAGGGGAGGAGGACGTGGATCCAAACATGGAGAAGAGACCTGCCGGGGGAGGGGGGGGGGGAGGGAGGGGGTTGTAAGGGCAGTGGAGGGTGGTTAAGAGTGAGTGGTGTGGGGTTGGCGGCTCCTTTGGCCCCCGGGCCACGGAGAACCAGCCCGGCTGGCTTCATGGGGGAGGGGGACGCAGAACCCCACATGGAGAAGAGACCTGCTGGGGAAACGGAGGGGTGCGGAGGGGGGGATTGGAATGCAGCGCAACAACCACACAAGCAACTAAAAGCTTAGTTGAAGAATCCGAATCTGGTAAGCTAAGAGCTTAGGCAGCGTACGGTGTACCTTAGAAGGAGGACTTGACCATGGGGTAGCACAAAAAGCCTGAGGCGAGCGTGATATGCTTATGAGGCGAGCGTGATATGCTTATGAGGCGAGCGTGATATGCTTATGAGGCGAGCGTGATATGCTTATGAGGCGAGCGTGATATGCTTATGAGGCGAGCGTGATATGCTTATGAGGCGAGCGTGATATGCTTATGAGGCGAGCGTGATATGCTTATGAGGCGAGCGTGATATGGTTATGAGGCGAGCGTGATATGGTTATGAGGCGAGCGTGATATGCTTATGAGGCGAGCGTGATATGCTTATGAGGCGAGCGTGATATGCTTATGAGGCGAGCGTGATATGCTTATGAGGCGAGCGTGATATGCTTATGAGGCGGGCGTGATATGCTTATGAGGCGAGCGTGATATGCTTATGAGGCGAGCGTGATATGCTTATGAGGCGGGCGTGATATGCTTATGAGGCGAGCGTGATATTGTCGGACATTGAGGTGATTTCTTATGCGCCTACAACACCACCTCAGCGAGGTGTAAGCTTGGGAGGGATGGACGCACCTTGGAAGGAGGTCTTGAGCATGGGGTAGCTCACAAAGCCCGAAACGAAATTCTTTAGGAGCCTCAAACTACCATTCTTGCCTCAAATGACGCACCTTGGAAGGAGGTCTTGAGCATGGGGTAGCTCACAAAGCCAGAGAAGAGTGTGATCTGCGCGGGCATGGGCATGGAGAATGGCATGACGTGAGACATGAGTCACGGCACGGATCGTGGCTTGAGTTGAGTATGGCGTGGCATGTATCATGGGTGATGGGTTTTGAGTCGACTCAAAAGCTGACTTATGAGTCGACTTAGAAGTCAGCACGGGTGATGGGGGATACAGAATTATTGACAGAGGGCATAGAGAGGGCCATTCTTCGTACCCCACTCCTTTCACTCACTCTCTGTCACCCCACTCCTTTCACTCACTCTCTGTCACCCCACTCCTTTCACTCACTCTCTGTCACCTCCTTGCCCTTCCCTTCCTAAACCTCATCTCACCAATCTCACTTCCCCTCTTACCCATCTTCCCAGCCTTTCCCCATCTCCCACCCAACACACCTTGGGCCCATTCCCTGAAGCCTCCCCCCCAGCCCTCTCATCCAACCCCCACCCTCCCCACACCTGCCCCTCCTCACCTTGGGACCGTCCCCTGACACCTCCCCAGGACTTGAGTTTCGCTGCTGGTGCCGCGTTGCAGCACGCGGCGCTGCCCGTCCGCAAGGTTCCTCCCCCTTCCTCAACCCTCTCACCTTCTCCTCCCCATCCCCACCCCTCCTCACCTTGGGCCCGTTCCCTGACGACGCCTCCCCCAGCACTTTGGCCTCGCTACTGGTGCCACGCTGCAACATGCCTTCTATGGCACCCCGCACGGCTGTCCCCAACCCCCTCACTTCCTCATCCAACCCCCTTCACTCCACTTACCTTAGGCCCGTCCCCTGACGCCTCCCCCAGCACTTAAGCCTCGTGGCTAGTGCCTCACTGCAGAAGACCTAAGGAGTCACCCCACAAAAGCCTTTCTTCTCCCCCCATCCCTCGCTCTATTTGCCATCAACTGACACCTGACGCCTCTCCCAACCCCACCCCTCCTCACCTTGGGGTCCATCGCCTGACGCCTCTCCCAACCCCACCCCTCCTCACCTTGGGTCCATCGCCTGACGCCTCTCCCAAACCCCACCCCTCCTCACCTTGGGTCCATCGCCTGACGCCTCTCCCAACCCCACCCCTCCTCACCTTGGGTCCATCGCCTGACGCCTCTCCCAACCCCACCCCTCCTCACCTTGGGTCCATCGCCTGACGCCTCTCCCAGCACTTTGGCCTCGCTGCTGGTGCCGCGCTGCAGCACGCGGCGCTGCCCGTCCGCGAGGGTCTTCTCAACAGTATCCTGGGCGGGGAAGGCCGCCCCCCTGTGCGCACTCAGCAGCACACAGAAGCAGTGGTCGCTGCCCTTGAGCACCTGGGGGTGTGGGGAAGAGGGGGGCACAGGGCACGGGGCATGGGGTATGTGGGGTGTGTGTATGCATTGGTCATTGTCCATGGGGCATGGGGCAGTGTGTTGGGCGCTGGCCATCCGCGAGGGTTTTCTCAACAGTGTCCTGAGCAGGGAAGGCCGCCCCCCTGTGCGCGCTCAGCAACACAAAAAACCGTGGTCGCTGCCCCTGAGCACCTGGGGAGGCATGAGGCATGGGGTATGGAGTTTGGAGTATGAGGCTTGCTGTACTGCAGCATGATGCATGCAGCAAGAGGTATGAGTCACTGGGCGTAGAGTATGGGGCGTGGGGCATGGAGCATGGGGAATGGCGCATGGAGTATGGGGCATGGTGCATGGGGCATGAGGCAATGGGGCATGGGGCATGGTGCATAGTGCATGGTGCATGGTGCATGGTGCATGCCGCATGGCGCATAGAGCATGGGGCATGTCGCATGGCGCATAGAGCATGGGGCATGTCGCATGGCGCATAGAGCATGGGGCATGTCGCATGGCGCATAGAGCATGGGGCATGTCGCATGGCGCATAGAGCATGGGGCATGTCGCATGGCGCATAGAGCATGGGGCATGTCGCATGGCGCATAGAGCATGGGGCATGTCGCATGGCGCATAGAGCATGGGGCATGATGCACAGAGGGCATAGCTGAGAGAGCCCAGCAAAACCCACCACGGACTCGAAGGCGCGGTCAGAGGAGTCTATGGCGAAGCAGATGTTGGGATACGCCTCTGTCACCTCCGGGTCCTGCTGGGGGGGAGAGGGGCAGAGAAGGCGGTGGGGGGGGGGGAACGGGGGCACAGAGCGGAGTGACTTGTCTATGTGTGGGGCACTGTGGGGCGCGGTCAGAGGAGTCAATGGCGAAGCAGATGTTGGGAAACGCCTCTGTCACCTCTGGGTCCTGCTGGGGGGGAAGGCAGAAAGGCATGGAGGAGGGATGCAGGATGGATGGAATGTGAACATGGTGAACGTGGTGGACCGTGGACGTAGACAGGTGTGGGGTGTTTTTGAGAATTCTCAAAAACACCCTGCAGCATCACGTGAACATGGTGAACGGGTGGGACTGCGTGGACGTAGACAGGTGTGTGTCTGTGCCATGGGTCTGGGGCGCAGCGCAGAGGTGAGGGACAGAATACCGGACGATCGCGGGATCCAGCAGGGCGGATGTGCTGCAGTGGACCGCTGTGTCACATGTGCTTGCATGCCAACATGCCATGGTCTCGTGGGCAGCCAGCCATGCCATGTGCTTGTGTGCACGCATGCATGGAATGGAGTGAGTGCCATCCGCTCGCTGAACTAGGGAGCCCATTATCTCAAGCCTCCCCTCTACTGCCTGCCCCACATGGTGACTTTTGAGTCGACTCAAAAGTCACCTTGAGTGCCATCCGCTCGCTGGACTAGGGTGCCCATTATCTCGAGCCTTCCCACTATGCCTGCCCCACATGCCCGCACGCTGGTCTCCACTACAAGCCTCCCCGCTACACGGCCCACTTGCCTGTGACGTGGATGGGGGCAGGGGAAGGCTGGTGTCGATGAGGGCTCTACTGGGGGAGGCGTATGCTCGCCTTGTCACCTGGAGCAGTGAAGGATGGTACAGGGAGATGACATGGGGAAAATGAATGGGGGGATGGCGTGCGGAGATGGGATGGGGGAATGGCATGGGGGGATGGGATGAGGATGCATTGATGGGATGACAAATTGGCAAGGAGAAACTTGGAAAGGGGGCTCAATGGAAAATGGAGGGGGGGCGACGGGGGTTGTGGGGGCTGGAGGAGGATGATAGAGATGGCATGACGGGAACAGCATGGGGGAGAAGGCACACAGAGTACGCTTCATTATGGGCGCACGGCTCGTCCTACCGCTTCTGGTTCTCCAGGGCCGTGCACTGTGTGGGGAGAGAGTGGGGGGGAGAGGTGGGGGGCAGGAGGGCAGGAGGGCAGGAGGGCAGGGGAGGCAGGCAGGGGCAAGGGTGAGCAGGAGTGCAGGGGTGTGACACTGGTGGGCTGTGGGGACGATGGTGTGTGTCAGACAGTGTGCCTGCATATGTGTGTGCGTGTGCTACCTGCAGGTCAAATCACGCAGTTACAACTCACTTGTATACAGGGTCACCCGCGTGCAGCTCACCCTCACACACCTCACCTACTCACACACAGCTACAGACGGCGATGGTGAGCGAGTAGTCGGTGTGGTAGAGATACAAGGTGCGCCGGGGCCACTCTAATTTATGCCCGTCGTATTAACTGGGCAGTCTAAACACAGCAACGACTCACACCCACACAGCTCACCTGAACACAACCGATGCAGCTCATCCGAAACACACCCCCCCCCCCCCCCCCCCCCCCACACACACACAGAGCAGAGAGCAGCAGACCTGCAGACGGCGATGGTGAGCGAGTATCGGTGTGGCAGATGAGGTTCAGATAGAAGGTGCGCCGCCAGTCCAATCACAAAAACCACTCACCACCCCCACACAGCCCACCCACACAGCCCACCCAGCACAGCTCACCCAAACACAGCAGTGACAGTGGACAGCATATCTATCAGCAGCAGACCTGCAGACGGCGATGGTGAGGGATTATCCAGAGTGGCAGATGAGGTTCGATAAAAGGTGCGCCGCCAGTCTATGCTCACAACTACACACGCACCCACACAGCCCATCCACAACGCACAGCTCACCCACACACAGCACAGAGTAGCGGACAGAAACAGCTGGAGAGCAAGCTAACCTGCAGACAGCGATGTGAGGGAGTAGTCAGTGTGGCAGATGAGGTTCGATAGAAGGTGCGCCGCCAGTCTATGCTCTCCCCACTTCCGCCCAGAATCTCCCCCAGCTGTCGCCACGTGTACAGGAGTGCAGAGGGGTGTGGAGTGGTGCAGGGAATGGAGGAGAGAAGTGAGTCAGACAGGCATGGCAGACAAGCGTGGCAGAACAGGCATGGTAGACAAGCGTGACAGACAGGCATGGCAGACAGGCATGGCAGACAAGCATGGTGCATGGGAAGCACGGCGCAGTTAACAGGCAAGTAGACAGCCCCAAACGACAAAAATCACAGCCCACTCACGCTGCTACTGCCTGCGTCTGGCGAAGTAAGGCCGCCGTCTCTCCACTGCCCTCCATGCCCTCGCCCCTGCCTGCCATGTCCCCTGCGCCCTCGGCTCCACCACCTGCCTGACGGGGTGTTAGCTGCAGGCGACTGCACATGGAAGTGAGGGTGGGTGGGTGGGAGGGTGAGTTGGGAGGGACGAATGGGTGAATGGGAGAGAGGCGTCTCTCCACGGCTTCCATGCCCTCGCCCCTGCCTGCCAGCACCCCGCGCCATCGCACCCCCCATCTGCCTGACAGGGTGTTGCTGCAGGCGACTGCACATGGTGGCGGGTGGTGGTGGGAGGGATGGGTGGTGGGAGGGTTGGTTGAGTGGAAGGGTTGGGTGAGTGGGAGCGATGGGTGAGTGGGAGCGATGGTGGGTGGGAGGGCTAGGTGAGTGGGAAGGACCGGTGAGTGGGAGGGACGGGTGAGGTGGAGGGACGGGTGAGTGGGAGGGACGGGTGAGTGGAGGGACGGGTGAGTGGGAGGGACGGGTGAGTGGGAGGGACGGGTGAGTGGGAGGGACGGGTGAGTGGGAGGGACGGGTGAGTGGGAGGGACCACGGCAGCAACCACGGCACAATGTCATCCCACAGGTGACGCACCTCCCTTTCACCTACCCACCTCGTCTCTGACAAAGAACACCACGTCCCCGAACGACCCATCTTGAGTGGCATCACCCGCAGCTGCACGCCGCGCACAAAGAAGAGGTCTGCCATCTCCCGCCAGTACAGCCGGTCCATCATCAGCGCCGTCTGCGCCCTTCCACCTCACCTCCATCCCACCTCACCTCTAGCCCACCTCACCTCCATCCCACCTCACCTCCATCCCACCTCACCTCTAGCCCACCTCACCTCCATCCCACCTCACCTCCATCCCACCTCACCGTCCATCCCACCTCAACTGCCATCCCACCTCAAGCCACTGCAAGCGCACCTCGTCCCTCACGAAGAACACAACATCCCGGAAAGAACCGTCTTGGGTTGCGGTCCCCCCTCAGCTGCACGCCGCGCACAATAGAAGAGGTCTGCCATCTCGCGCCAGTACTGCCGGTCCATCATCAGCGCCGTCTGCGCCGCCTCCCGCTCCCGCCCCGTCCCGTGACGCCGCTGGCCGCACACCAGCGCACCTGAATGCTTGCGCACTATTTCCAGAATGTCCTTGCGGCTGGGATGCATGCACGGGGATGGGGGATGGAGAGGGAGAGCATATGAACGAATAGGCACACCTGGCCGCACCAGCGTGCCCGAGTGCTGGCGACTCGTGTGGTCCTTGGCGACTTGTGTGACGCGTTGGGACGGGGGGCCAGGGAGGGGAGTGATATCACATGAATTTGCGAACTGAGTGGGCGGTGCAGGGTGCTTGCTCTCTCTTCACATCCTCTGCTCTTTGTTCACACCTTCTGCTCTCACACAAGTCACCTATTGCCCCAAATGGACCAATACCCCTTCCCTCATTTGCGAATGCCACCTCTCCTCTCTCTTGCCATTCATATTCGCAAGTTCTTTGAGAAATCCTCCCTCACTCCTCCGAAACCTCACCCTACCTCGCATGTGATTCCTTCAGCCTCCAACCCCCCCTCCCCAGTACGCAGCTCAGCCTCCCATTCCTGCCTCCTCTCTCGCCTCTCCTCACTTTACCTTAAATCTTCCCATAAATCTTCCCAAATCTCTCCTCTACCTCTTCCAGATTTCTCCCCATACCTCTCTCCCCCCACACCTCTCCCCACACCCGCACGCCTCACCTAATGGCTTCCCCCTCCCCCTCGCCTCCCCTCTCTCCCCTCCTCTCACCTCCACTCTCGCCTCCTCCCTCACCTCCACTCTAGCAACTCCTCTCGTCTCCTCTCTTGCCTCTCTCTCTCTCCCTCCCTCTCTCTCCCCCCAGCCCATCCTCTCGCCTCCCCCCTAGCCTCCCCTCTTGCCCCCCCACTCCCCTTTCCCCCTCTCTCCCCTCTCCTCTCTCTCCCCCCTCTCCCTCTCTCCTCTCTCCTCCCTCTCTCGCCTCCCGCTCGCCGTGCCTCACGGGTCCCCATGGAGACCCGCTTGGCCCTCCCATCTTTCCGCACCTCATGGCGCCCCCAGGAGGAGGAGACGACGGCGACGACGGCGATTCGCCCCACATCCCCGCTGCTTCCCCATTCGCCCCCCCCATGTCGCGCCCCTGCCTCTCCCGCTCCCCCCCCTGCGCGCACGCCGGCGCATCCACCGCCATATCCGCTCCCCTCTCTGCGCCAGCTTCCGCGGGACGTTCCGCTCCGCCTTCCGCCGGCCTGCTTGCGCCAGCGCTCGCTTCCGCGGAGGCGGGAGCGGGCGCTTCCGCGTGCGCTTGCTGCTGCAGCTGCAGCGCGCGCAGCATATTAGCTAGCCGTTGGCGATCCTCTGCAGAGAGCCGCTTTACTCCGGAATGCACGCTAGGGGAATTGATTCCCGAGGGATTACCGGAGGAGTATCCTCCGGGTGACGCCATTCCCGGGGACCGGGACATCGGAGCAGATGGGGAAGGTATTGAGGGGAGCGCAATGCCGTACTTGGTGCGTTTCCTGAGGTGACTGTAGCGGATGGTACTGTAGCAGACGGCTCAGGGGGTGATGGTTCGGATGGTTGTTGTATCGAAGGGGATGGATGGGCTGAAATGCCGGACGGAGGGGTGGTTAGGATGGGTAGGGCCGATTCGGCGGATCGGGTCGGTGCAAGATGGGTGGATTGGGTGGGTGAAAGAGGGGTGGGGTCCGGTGGAGACGATTCGGCCACAGGAGACGGGCTTCTAGCTGTTGGTGGAGTCGAATCGACGCCTCCTAAAGACGTATTTCTGGTGCCGGCGCGTGGGGAACCGCTATCATCCATGTCTACATCCATGGCGTCGGAATCCATTATAAATTAAATCGAATCTGTTTGTACAGGAAATGCGGCAATGGGCTACAGCGAACTTATTTCCTGCTGCAGCTACAGCCTGGATTGGTTCGAGCCGAGGGTGCTACGGATTATAGGACTATTTGGTGTCATGAGATGCATGGTCATGACTCCTGAGCACGGTACCGTTACGAGGTAACTAAGAAATCACAGGAACATGAATAGAAAACCCCAGCTGTACGCGACGCGCTGTAGGCCTCTACAACCCCAGAATCATGGCGAAACGCAACGCCCTGATCGAAAACGATAAGGCTACGGCGACATGAAGCTGGCTCTTCCGTACGCGTCGACAGGTCCCATCCACCAATCCACGATGCCGCTCCTTGCTACGCAACGGCTCATTCGCAAAAAGCTACCTAAGTTTGTCCGTTCAATGCTACATCATCGCGAGCCATCCAGCGGTCGTGCGGAAAATGTCGGATTCCTCTTGTTTCATCCGAACCCCATGTTACGCTTTTGAACGAAGTGACAAGTGCGGTCCGACATCAGAAGACATAGCTAACGCCACCTGCTTTTTCAAGGAGCCTGCTTGAACTGGCAAGAATCTTTGGCTGAAACATTTGCGCGATTACTGTACAGACAGGTGCTCTCATCTCTCATGTCCATGGCATCTCGGCATCTCCCATGTTTTCATGTTTCTGTTTCGCTGCTGGTCACGTCAATCTCGAGACTTCGTTCGGCGTCCAGCCTTCCACCCACTCAACTGTGACTGTCGGATGGGTTGCACTGCAAATTTTCTGTTTTGAGAAGCCCTGAGGTTTCCAGGTCAATTTCATCTACCCGGATCTTGCTCAATTGTTTCAACAAATTCCTGGAATCTTGAGTATGACACGGAAAAAATCGGGGTTGAGGGTCGTGCCAGCTGCGAGCAGAGAATAAATTTTGCTGTCAAACACCAGCGTTTTGGGGACTCGCTTGAGCACACGAGGTATCCTTACCAAAACAATGACAAAAGGGGAAGCAGTAGAGTGACTGGTTCTCCTGGCGACCTTTTCCCTCCTCACTCCAGCCCCCCAACCACCACATTTCAGCCCCGTTTTTCCCTCTCTGAAATGCTGGCGAGGCCTGCAATCTGTGGCTGCCTGGCAAGTCCCCCTCCCTTGCTCTGCGCCCCCCCATCAGGAAAACAGCACCAGATTTTGCGGATATTTCGGGTGCGAGGAACCGCAGATAGGGGCGCATAGTGACCCCTGCGCTGGGGCAGTGTGCTGTTCTGTTTCCTTCCTCACTGCCAGCCTCCCTCCCAAGTTCTGTGGAATGGTGGTGAGGTCGCGATCTTGACGAAGAGTTTGTAACCCTCTTTCCACGACCCCTGGATGTTCGCTTGCAGCCCAATTCTGCCCACCACCACGACACAGTTTGTCGTGCAGCTCAAGAGTCAACGCAGCGCCAGAAATATGATTGGGGAACTCGCGTCACAATATTCTCGTCAATGACAACCAGGACGCGAGTCAATACGCCCTCGCAAAACACACACTAGTCCAGACTGCTTATGCGTCAGGTAACTGAAACAAATTACACAAAATCCCTTACTATCCCCAACATTTCAATCCATTCAACCCCCCTCCATAACTAGGCGGTTGAACTACCAAAAACGAACTCTGAAACGGGCCGCAACAGCATCACCCCTGAATCAATCCATGAATGTCACTCCTGTTTCCAGACGAAGGAAACACTTGCGGCCTCTTCCCACCCCTCGGCGCATCATAAGCCAAGCCTCTCTTGCCGCTCGTCTCCAGCCCCGCGCATCATTCCTCCCTCAGCCCATCCACCGCAATCTTCACTCACCCGCTCGACCCTCGCCCTCCCTCATCCCCCCACCCTGCTTTCAGCATAGCAGCAGCATCCGCAGCTGCTGCAGCAGCAGCCGCAGGCAGCGGCACAGAGAACTTAGGAGCACCACGCTTGTTCCATTTCTTCTTATCTGCCGAAGGACCCAGAGCCATGGCCTCGCTGGCCGCCACATGCTGTGCATCCAGCCCAAACTCCTCCTTCTCCGCCGAGAAATCATAAATCTCAAGCCGCGCGAATCCTTCCCGATCCTCCTCCTGCTGCCGACCAGGAAGCTTCCGCTTTCCCTTCGCCACACCATCCTCATCATGATCGCTATCGTCACCACCGAAAACACCACCACCACCGTCAGAATCATCATCGTCATCATCCTCACTATCATGCACCATGCGAAGCCCCTCCTCCTCCTCCTCCTCCTCCTCTTCCTCTGAATCCGAGCCACACAACCCTCCAGTCCCACTCCTCCTCTTCTTCTTGCGCCTCTCCTCCCCCTCCGCAGCTCTCTGAAACGCCTCTGAAACCAGGTTCTTGCGCTGCCCCCCACCAGCACCCTTCTTAGCTGGCTGTTGTGACTGTGACTGTGCTGATGCCTTGCCCTCAACACCAACGTCCCCCCTCTTCAGCTGCAGCTGCAGCATCAGCATCAGCTGCATCACCGGCACCAGACCCAGACCCTGCACCATCACCAACACCGTCAACATCGTTTGCCCCAGCGCCAGCACCAGCAGCATCGCTAATGGCAGCACACCAGCAGCACCAGCAGCAGCGGCGGCAGCAGCAGCAGCAGCTTTGAGCATGCGTCTCTTCTTCCTCTGTGCCCGCCTGCCTTCCTCCGCATCAAAGGCAGCACTCAGAGGAGCTGGCAGATCCCCCCCTGCCTCAACTCCACCACTCACTCCCGCCCCGCTTCCGCCCCCTTCGCCCTCTGCCTGGCTTCCGGCTTTCTGGCTGCTCGTGCTGCTGCTGCTGCCGCTGCGCCACCGCCACCGCAGCAGCCACATGAGCCGGAGACTTGGCTGGTCGCTGCCGCTTCTTCTGCCCGCCCCCTGCTTCTCCACCCTTCCCTGCTCCCCCTACCCCCCCCGCTTCCCCTCCGCCCCCTCCTCCCCCCTCACCTCCCTCTGCTTCCCCACCATCCCCCCTTCTCCTTCCTGTCCCCTACCTTCAGCTGCCACCTTCCCCTCACCTTCCGCAGTTCCATGTTTTTCACCTGCCCGTGAAGCAACTTTCTTCGATCCATTGGCTGCGGTACAATTCCCATGGCTGCTCGAACTCGTGCCGCCAGGTCATCTTTCGCAGCAGCGCCATCCGTCTTCTGTGCTTTTGCCAAGGGCTTTACTAATGCTCCTGCTGCCCCTGCTCCAGCTGCTACAGCTGCTCCTCCCGCGGCTCCTGCGGCTTTAGCAGGTCGCTTTTGCCCCAGGAGTGCCCCAAACCCAGACTTAGCTGCTGCTTTTTTCACCTTCACCTTCGCTACAGCCGCTGCTACAGGCGGTGCTAACAGATGCAGTTATGGCAGTTGTTGGTTGGACACTTGCATCAGCAGTGACAGCAGCAGCGGCAGCAGCACCAGGAGCCACACCAGCAGCGGCAGCAGCACGGGCAGCAGCAGCAGCAACAGCAGCGGCGGCGCTGCAGCAGCCGGAGTGCCAGGAGCAAAGGGTCTTTGCCTGACGTGGCAGCATGCCGTGCCGCGACGACAGCTGGCGACTCTAGAGTGGACGTTGCCAGGTCAGCAGAATCTTTGATCTGGCTGATTATTCGGGTGATAGTTGCAGCATTTCGAGCCACCAGAGGTGCCGAACCTCGGAGGCAGGTTCGGAGAGCACGTCGTCGGAGGTGGGCATGTCACGTGCTGAATAGGAGCGAATGAGGGAGAGTGGGGAGGAGAAGCAAAAGAAGCTTTTTGATAGCACGGGACATGCCCACTTTCAAACGTGCTCCGAGTGACAGGGAAAGACAGACAGAGCAGCAAAGAAGGCAAAACGTGCAGGGCGAGACTGTTAACAAGTGAGTGTTATGACAATCCCACTGGAATCTGAGTCATGCAGCGCAATGACACAGAGAAACCATGGGGGGCAATCATGGGTGGGTAACTCACCGACTTTGAGCAGCAGGTGGTTAGGCATGACGTATCCCAGCCCCTCATCGCACTCCCTGCCTAGTTGCTCATCTTATGTGCTATAGCCTTTCCCATTTAATGAGCTGCCGATCACTGGGATGTGATTCGTGCAGGACAATCAATCACGGGGGCCTTCAGGTAGGGGAACGCACCGACTTTGAGCAACAGGTGGTTGGGCATGACGTATCCCAGCCCTTCATCGCACTCCCTGCCCGTCTGATCTCGCCACGTGTACAGCGCCTGATGGCGATGACGTGGCATGGATGGCACAGAGAACGGAATGGTGGCATGGGTTTGCATGAGATGGCAATGCGTTGCACGAAACAGCATAGCAAGCACAGAAACTGCACAAGCCTGTGTGGGTGCACTTTGAAATTCGGAAAAAAAAAACAAAAACAAAAAAAATGCAGAGGAGAGGCACGTGTGTCTTACAGAGAGCACAGCCATCTGTTCCTCGGTGAAGGCCTCTGTGCTTAACTGCATGGAGGAACCAACAAGTGCAGTCAGGCACGGGAGATAAAACCGAGCAACAAAAAAAACACAAAATTCTTGTGACTTCATCTGAACTTTTAATTCACTCGAGTCATTCGAGTTGGATAAACCACAAGAGCCCTGCGACCACATCGCGATCGGTGGTTAGCTTGGTGGAGAGTTTGGGTTCA